AAGTAGTATGTAGCATCGATCGAAAGTGAAATGCCTGACAGCAGAAGGTTGAAAACGTGAGAGAAGAAAGAACGAGAACAAGGAATGATTGGCGTGGAATTGAAGAAACAATGAAGACTGAGACGAGTGATTGACATTTTGTAGAATGAACAGTCAATTCTGAGACAACTGATTGACATTTTGTAAATGAAGTATTTATTATATGGTTCTCAGATACGCCCGACAGTCCCTATTTGTGTTCTTCTTCACCAAAGAAATAATCAGGTCTATTCCCTCTGTTGACGTAGCTTGTATTAAGTCACGAAACATGAGAAGTATAATTTTTCTACTCAGTGGGATATAACAGAAAAATAAGTTTCTTGTTAACTCCCTAATCAATGCTCAATTTATTTGAAACTATCAAGTCAAAACTAAGCGTTTGACATCTGTGATTGGATAAAAACCAACTAAAAATACGACTGTGGATGGTGTTGAAGCGATCAAGAACACCAGCGAGGACAAACAAATCAGAGAACCATGCACTGGATACTTCATTTGCAAAATGTCAATCAATCGTCTCACACTTTTTTGTCCATTCTCTGTTCTCGTTCTCTTCTACTCAAACCGTTTGACCATCTGCCTCCAGGTATTTCACTTCCGATTGATGATGCATACTACAGGGATCAACATATACCCGTTGCACACACCACACTCAAAACCTTCTCTGTAAAGCATTTAGTTGAACTCATCTGTGATCTCGTTCACTACAGAATATTCATCAATGAATAGTTGAAATTTGCTGTTCACTTTACTGTTTGATGTAGACAAATCTTAAAAGTAATGGTTCCTGTAGTTGAAAATGCTGAATGTGGAGGAGTCAATGTGATGAAACGTGTTGATCGTCTACGTGTTGTATCAACGTACACCAAAACAGTTAATTGTACTTTATGATTAAAGTCATTCAAAAATATAGGTGCTTATACGTCTTACAATATCAATATCAATTCCATTTGTCATCATAATGCACTCGCCAAAACCGTAAATTATTGAATCAATAATGATTGTTGTCTTTATGTAGTGGAAATCATTTTCGAGACAATAGTCAACTGATATTGTCCATTGTAGCTGGTTTATTCCTATACGTTTTGTCATTTATAAACAAATTATTCTCCGTGTTGTATTTGAGAATCTTCCTTTTTGCTTTGTTTATGTTGAGGCTTATTGATGCACAGACTACTGCTACATTTGCTGTCTTCATCTGCAATTGTTCATGTGTTTGAGATAGGAGGGCTAGGTCATCCGCGAAGTTCAATTCATCCAACTGATTCTGAGATTTCCATTGTATTCCGTGCTAACGCTCAGATGTCGAAGTCTTCATAATCCAGTCAATAACCAGCAAAAAAGAGGCAGGGGGAGAGTAGACAACTTTATCTGACTCCGGTCGTTATAATATACTGAAAATTTAAGTTTGTCAAACAATTATTCAGCTGGATAACAGAAACATAAAATTGATTGCATTCATTCGCTATTGTTCACTTGAAGCTTTCTGTTGAATCTTTCTGTCAAAGCACATATAAATAAAATATTGATAATCAATCCATTGCAAACAAAAACCAGATCTGTTCACTGAATTTCATGTTTCCATTGTCTAAAATAGAGTGACTAGTCTGTTAAAGACAATCAAATCGGAAATCACATACATTCTTGAATACCAAAATTGTTAGAACTGGTAATACTCATTTCAGTTTAGAAAATTATACACACAATTTCCACCATGTTTTCGAAGAGAACACTTTCGATAGATCAGTGAACTAGTTGTGTCAAATTTGAAATAGCCATCTTCAGCGGAAGAATTCATACATTATCAGCTTTAATATACAATATAATCATATATGAATGAATATATATTCCGTTAAAATTATAATTTTCCTTCTCATTTTTCAGTCTATTTTCATGGCAATAGCGATGACAGTTTGGAATTTACAGTTAGATGTTCTTTTCAAACTTGCAATCTTTGGAATCAGTTTGGTGTTGTTCACATATGCATTACTGATTGGTGCAGCGATTAAAGCAGATTCGGTCGATCACTTAATAAATATTCTAATATCCCTTTTGGTTATATCTGTTGTAATTGCCGTAGTCGGGGCTGTGCTCAGTGTATTGCATTACAAGGTATCCTAATTAGCTAAATAATTTTATTCATAAATTACGTAATCATAATGGATTCTAGTTCTAATTCGTTAACTATTATCAGGAAGCTAGTTCGAATCCAACATTTCCAAACATTTGAGTTCGAAGTAAAATCAATCAAAAGTCGAAAGTATTATGTTAGTTCAACTTTCAAATTTTGATTGTATGCAGCAGTATCTCCTCTGACGTAGCACAAATAGATATTACATCCACATTGGAGAAAGATTTATGATCATCTCTCGCCTCAATCTCGACTATATCAGGAAGCTTCGGGTTGCAATGATTATTATTATTGTGTTTTCAAACAATCAAAATCTATATTGATGTATGTTTTTTATTTTAGAGATAACAATATTTATAAGTCATTTTACTGTTGGCAAGTCAAGATATCTTATTTTATATCCAACATATTCACTGTCAACTATATTATTGTATACCATACATTGAAGTTTTACTGTGAATAATTAACCGATGTGTATTTTTGTTTTGTTGATTTAATATCGAATCAATCAAGAAGGGGTTTTTGTGTACACTGATTGTGTGTGTGTTTTATTCGATTGCATTACAATGTAACGTACAAGATGATATATGTAGTTGTTGTTGTTGGGATTTCAATGATAATATCCATGTTCAGTGTCGATTAGTCAATCAGTCTACTTACATGAGTATTATATCAAAAGAATCATTGAGCGTTCGATGGGAGTCATCGTGACCATAACTGGTAAAATATATTTTTATCAACATTTCTGTCTTCAATCACGTTGCTCATATAAGTTTTTAATTGCGAAGGCGTTCTATCTCCGATCTGCACTTCACTGAGCAATTGCTTGACCGTATGGCGGTCGTTTAATGAGAGAGCTTTTATTACTGCCTGTTTCAATACGTCATACGGATTTACCGCACCCGGCTTGAGTGGGACCTCTCGCACCTTTTCGGCTATTTCGTCTTGAAATAGTGAGCTTGCATAGCGGAACTTATGTGGCTGTAAGAGAATACGATTGGCTACGAAGTAATTTTCAAGTCTAATAAACCAGAGTTGAGGATCATTAACATAAAAAGAAGGAATAGTAACATTAATAACTCCCACGGATGGTGACTGTGAAAGATCGATTGTGTCGTTGTTTAAAGACATTAATAATAAAATTAAATAACATGCGAATATAACGTAATAGTCACTAAGAGAAATGAATCGATGAAAACAATGATAATAACAAATGGTACAATTTATAAAATGGAATGGACTTACTAAATTGCACGAGTATATCAATTGTTCGTGAATAATCGTTATTTACTATGAATATTATCGTTAAGTTCAATAATGTTTCTGGAATAATGTACGTGCAATCAAAATTGTGGTATAATAAATCCACAATTATGATTATAATCCAGATAATAATTCGAATAGAAACAGAGTACGTTGAATTTTCGAGATGAAATTATCTCGTGGAAAACTGTTTTGTGTTCGCTCGGCGAAGCATCCATTTCCGTAGTGTTGTGTTCGTACGGCGAGGCCTCCAATTCTGTAGTGCCGCGATTCGTTAATCGTTTACTTCGATAACCGTTATATTTCTAATTTTAACGGTGCGTAAAATCAGAAGACAAAGGATGGCAGCAACTATATTTTATTGTCGAATAACTCAGGTTAGAAAGCTAACAACACCTGAGCGAATATCAACGATCAATTGAGCGGCAAGCGAGTGAGTGAGTGAACAGGCGAATAAGCGAATGAAGCGAACGAGGAGCAAGCGAGAGAATAGCAAGCAAATACATAGGCAATTTATAGTCAAATTTAATAAGGGCACAGCAAAGCAAAACAAAGGCTGATAATAATATTTGTGTGCATACATATAAGGGTGATGAGTATGAGTCATCGAGTGATATTTAAGTAGTCAACATTTCGGATAGAGCGTCATGTACTCTAGTGGTATATCAGTGCAAAGAATATGCAAATTGTTACTATTCAAATGACGATGTCTGTTAAGTAAGTTATAAAAAGGGGTTAACCAAAATTGAATATAATCGGAATTGATTATAGGATGGTTGCTATAATGAAATTACTTACTTACAGACTTACGCCTGTTACTCCCAATGGAGCATAGGACGCCGACCAGCATTCTCCTACTCACTCTGTCCTGGAACTTCTTTTCTAGTTCTATCCAGGTTTTGTTCATTCTTCTCATGTCTGTCTCTATTTCTCGGCAACATGTGTTATTTGGTGTTCTCCTTCATCTTTGACCTTCAGGATTCATCCTGCTAATGAGTTTCAAGTAAAAGCTTTGATCAATTATATAAGATAAGTGCTTCGGAGCAAGTTTCTACCGCATGAATAATTCTAGATGTTTTATTCTACATCTTCAATTTGTCAATTTATGAAAGACAATCATGTAGCTCGAATACTGGAGACAAATGATAAGTAAGATGAACATTCAATAGAAATCAAAGGAGCGCCATACAAATTAACCCATATCAAACTTGTTTATTGTCGGTAAGCTAATTGAAACAATGAAAAGTCAATTGAATTGTTTTATTTATCCAATAAGTAATTGATGAATATTTAGTATTTTTTAACAAACTTTATTGTATAACTACACTTACTAACAATCAAGAGATTCTAAGTCCAAAGTCATCTCACTATGGTTGAATAAGGAATGCCTTGTTTCGTTAGTCAAATGGTCATTCGTTTTAAAAGATCAAATACAATACCCTTTGTATTCATTCATGTCTGAATAATTAATATGTTAATGAAAAAAAATTGTAAGTAGTATCTTTGTTCTTTGTTTTAATCAGTCAAGTGTTTTCATGAAGTGAATATAAACAACATTTTGCATCATGTACATAATAGTATAAATTGTAGCTTTATTAGACGCAGGTAAGTGCATATTCACATTATGAATCGATCAATGATGAACTATCATTGAAAACCTGAAAGTACTGGACATTCGTTTTGTTTTCCTACTATGGGACTCCAACATGTGGGACTCGAATCCAAGTCTTCTGATCTCGAATTTATTCTTTCATATTGTTGATTGTACTTATAGAGTCTATTAGAAATCGATATTTGATTCAAAACTAATTCTGATAAATTATTTTCTTATTTGAGTCTATTTAGTTAAGTGCTCTGGCACGAGATTGGTAGAACCTGGAATCGAATCTCGTGAGGAAAGATCATGGATGCGTACTGTTGAGGAGTCCCACAATAGGAGGAAACGACTATCCAGTGTTTTTAGGTTTTCCTTTGTGTTAGTCTAATTTCAATTAACTCACACTTTCAATTATATCAAATTCATCATTTCATTTATATTCTTATTCTTATTCTAGATAATCTTTCTATAAACATGTTTATGATCAATCAAATTAATCAGTCAATTATTAATTTAATCAATAAACTTTCCAATAAATCAATATTGAATTATCGATTAGATATATCATTATATAATAAAAAAGTAAGTAAATTATTAATTATCATCGATAAAATAAAACTATTAAATCATTAAAATTGAACTTGGCATCGAGTCATGATTGAGTATGATGGACAGGAAACATTGCATGGCCGTTTCGTACCATTATGAGACGCGCTCAGTAATGCACATCCAACACCTTGCCCTCTAGATTCTGTAAGGATGGCTCGTTGGTAAAATCTAGGAAGCTTTAAGAAGTCCAGAAAGAGCCAAATACATTCCGTCCAATCACTGCAAAGAGAATATTCTAGAATGTCGACATGTAGCTTCCCTATTGAATGGATAAGAATGACCCCTATGTGCCGATTGGTTGACTGAAATGATGATTTATTTGATTACATTACTAGTCTTCTGTCTTCTCTCTTGCGACGTTGCGGGTTCGATCGTTCAAGGAATCAAGTAAAAAAGCGGCATAGTAAGATTCAAAGCTCTATATATAACAGATTCGAACCCAAAACAAAATAAACAGATCCACTCACAGAATGCTAGACATCTTGACTTCAAAGTTCTAGAGGTTGAGTGCATGTGATCTCAGTAATATTATTTACCTCATATAGTCCAGTCATGCATTGACATTATTCGATTTATATACAACATCAATTGGTTAAATACGAACTCATCAACATTTTTATTTTATTTTCAGTCAACATGGGTCGCGTTTTACGTCCTTACAGATATAGCGTTATTTTTTGTGAGTTACATTCATCTATATTTCATCTATTTGAAGTAAATTTGTAGTGGCTAACACTATGACAAGCCCACATAACTTATTCATGCTTACAGACAGATCAATTTATTCATTCTTCTTGACTCACATTTTAACCTTGTTATTTATTTACATTGCCTCGCATTGTTCACGTCTTTCTCATGCCTCGTTTCGCCTCAATTCGATTTGATCATAAATATTGAGTAATACTTCATTAAAGTGAGTTGGCTCACTCACCTTCTCCATTGTGTGTCATTTTGTTTTGCTTCACATCCCAATCAACGATTGTACATAACATGCGTTTTCAAAGCTTCATTCTCCCATTTGATTTATTTGAATTCCGTTATTCACTAATGCGAGCTAAGTCAATAGTTATCGATGTTGGATCACCATTGAATACCTGAAAGTATTGAAAGGCCGTTTCCTCCCAGTATGGGACGCCTCAGTGCTCAACAACGTTTACGTTCACGAGATTCCGACCAATGAATGCTTAACATCTAGATCACTGAGTCGGCATCCAACGGTGTTATTGTCTAACTCCAACCAATCCATGAAATTTAGGGACCATCTTCCATTGTATTCCGTTGGTAACTGTCTCACACCCAACACAGTTGAACACCATTGAGTTCGAATCTTACGAGCGAGATCGTGAACAGTAGTCTTTATTTTCAATTGATGTTGTACTCGTACTCAAATGTAGTATGTTGTCATGATATATACTTTAGTCTAATTGTTTTGTTTAATTTTACTTTCATAGATAACAATATTTGTCAGTCAAATAACTGTTGGCAAATCAGCATTACGTATCTTCTGTACAGAATACACTGCGGCTGCATTACTACTATATAATATGTTTTCAACTACTTATTTAATCACTACTGGTATGGTTTGTAATATAAGCCAGACCTGTAATGCATCAAATGCATCTGTTTCCCTATCCGACAATTTACCGGGATATATAGTTTTGATTTAAAAGTAAAGACTCATCTTTTGTTTGTTTATGATCAAACTTTAAAACATCTTACAAACTTATGACATGTGAGAAAATATATATTGTATTGTTTGTTTGAATATTATCATTGATATTTCGGACTATATTTGATCAGTATCTATGCAACCTGCACGAATTATCTCGATATTGCCTTGATTCACAAGTAATACAATCAGAGATGGATGGTGGTAAGTAGTGGAAACCAGAATGCACGTTTCAGCCTATTTGGGATTTGTCTGTTGAATGTGCTTATATCACTAAGTTGATTTTTACTCTGGGACTACTCACTGCCTTCTCGTAGCGGGGGTGTCGTTTACGAAATTGAGAGGACGAAAAGCGAATGCTCAGGGCTTTAACCGGGTAGGTGGACACGGAAAGTTCACCTAGGGGAGTTGGAAAACCCTGATTCCAGACCAATAGCACACATGGGCTGGTTTCAGTATCCATGAGGGAACAAATGGCGTATGAATCAATCGTTGATCATGGGCTACCAAGGCACTGAAACTCCTCACGATGCGCCACTGCCTTGTGGATCAGAAATTTAGGTCAAAGGCTTCGACTAAGGCCCCCTAAGAAAAATGCGTGCTACAGTTTCAGCACCTGAGAAGTATCACAGTCCTCTTTCAAACCAAATAAAATTTGTGCTCCGCATATATATCCGGTGCTTCCTTGTACAAATACTTGTGTGTTTAAATAAATAAATTAGTAGATAATAGTTCGTGGTTCGACTGATCTAATGGATTCCATCTGTCGTTTCAGTTGTGTCACCTAGTTGAATATATCTGCAGAGATCTTTGTTGCACGTTCGAAAAACTCACCAGACAAACATAACGTCGTCCCGTAAAGAAACTCAGCAGCACAATAACAGATGTTTTGTTTGATAGTTGAGCGAATGCCTAATAATATCAAAAAAGACTTGATATCTCAATTGTAATCTCATCCTGCACTAGTCAAAGAGGCTTTTAATTGTCGGTAGAAATTTTCTATCATTCCGTTAGCATTCAGATGACAAGCAGTGGTCCTGATTCACTTTATACTGAAAGTGTCTGTAACTTGTTGATAAAGTGTGCTTTCAAACTGATTTCCACGCTTGGTCGTAATTATTGATGGGACACTGGAATTTGTAATCCACTGTTTCACTTATTTATTCACCACTGTTGATGCCGATGTATCTTCTAATGGGATGGCCATGGGCCATCTCGTAAACCCATCTATACACGTTAACATATGCGTGTAACCATTGGAAATTGGTAATGGTCCAACAATGTCGATATGGATGTGGTTGAACCTAGAGCTAGCGACGAAAAATCTCCTGTAGAAAATATGATGTTTGTCATTCTAGCTTTGAGATTTCACCAGTAAATGTATAGACGTCTCATTAGATAGATTCCCTTTCATTTCACTCCTGTGATCGGCAACTACTAGTTCCCGGTTTTTGACGTATTTTACGTGAATGTTACAAATGAACACGGATTTTGGGGGTGAAAACATCAACTTTGATGAAGTTCCATGAGACGTTGGGAGGAATACACTTTTCAGCTTGTTTACCGAACGTTATATGGTACCAGCAAATGTTATCTTTTGACGGAGGCGTCTGAGCCACATTTGATATAATAGACATTTATCAACTATACGATACCCCAAAATATTTTTCATATGGCCTTTGAATTGGGTAGGTGTGTTGTCACCTAGCTCTACATCGGATTAAAATTGTTCATTACTTTGCTGGTCAGAGGGAGAGAAATCTAACACGTATGACCTCTCCTTCTAGGCAATCGTATGGCGAGTCATGATCCGGTTTAAAACTGACATCAAGCACTTGCTCAATAACGTCATACGGCACCAACAAATTCGCCTAACTAAATTTCGTGTTCACACTTGTGATTCTGGTTCTAACAATAAGGCTTTCTGAGAGTGCAAACTAGAGTTCTACATTTCGACTGTTAAAAACTGGTAAAGGTACATAGATGACACCCATGCAAATAGACTTACATGAAAGGCTTGGTGAATAATCATACAAATAAATAATAACAGTACCAATAATAATAGGCTGTGCATTGACATATTCAATATGAAGAAATAACCAATAACAACAACAGGAACTATACATGAGAGATTCACCGAATAATAAAAACAACTGTCAATTAGAAGTACAAATATGCGAATAAACTGATAGAATTCCAAAGGAACAATGTTATGAATGAATTTATATTATGACTGTCAATGAATTGTTAATCATTGTAACCGTAATCTCAATGTGAAATTCTTTATGATATTTGATTGGAGAATATGCAACAGACATGTAGAGTGATGGTGCACATTTCAACGGCGGTACGCCAAATTCGTAAACAATGAATTCCTCTATATCTGATTTTCGTTAACTGAATATTCAATGCAGGCTAAATCTGTTAATAGAATGATGGGTTCACCCAAGATTATTTCAAATGCCTGAACATCAGTTATAGGGATAGTTTATTGTTGAAGTTTGGTATCAATCCGCAAGTGTACTGATAACAATCACACAGGGAAAACAAGCGAGTGACTATGTGTGTGTGTGAATGTCAATGAATGATCAAGAATTTCCATATATATTGATGAGTATAAAATGGATTGTGCTTAAATTATTGATTGATTTTCTTTACAACCAATGAGAGAACAGAATAGAGATCGATGTACAAACACACTGTGGTCAATCAGACTCACACATCAATTTACATAGTGGATTAAATTGTCTAAATTACTGAGTACACACATATAATATAATAGTTGAATGGGCTTGTTACTTCCTATTTGGTATTTGTCAGCTGAATATTTCTATATCACAGAGTTAATGTCATTCTGGGACTCGAACCCAGTACCATTCACTTTAAACGAAAAATACACGATTCAGATAAAAATATACCGGGTAGTTTACACATTAGTACACTCGTGTTCTACCTAAAACATTGCTGATTATGTTATCTGGAATTGTCTTTGTCACCTTTCCCAACTTTAAAAGTATTTCTCAACTAATTCTGATTGCAAAGTCAAGATGTACATTCTACAATACGATGGTTTATATATCGTATTTATTCTTCATATATTATCGTTTTGCTTAACAAGTAAATAACTCGTGATGTTCCGTGTTCGTTATTTGATACCGACATACAATCTTCTCAAACACGAGTATATCCGACTACCCTCGTCAAAGAACTGGTATTAGGTAAGGAAGTTTATCGACTGAACTAAATCGTAATTGTATGTATATTCCTAATTGAAGGAAACTATGATTTGAGTGATGATTTTAATATTCATTATTGTGGTGTGTACTACTTATGTCGACATGAGTGATATACAACAATGATCAGGGATAGAATGTCTAGTAGTAGAAGATGGAGAAGATTGAGGAGTAAAGAACAGGAATCAAAAGAAGGAACAATGATGTCTGAGGCGATTGATTGATATTTTGTAAATGAAGTATTTACTGTATGACTTTACAAAGATGTTCTGTAGTCTTATGTTCAAATACTAAAATGGGAAATTGAGTTACATACACTTCACATAATGCATCGATAATTTTCACACGAAACTATAAAGCCAACGTTGAATCTGGCACAAATGTCTTTCAGTTCAGGTCGTAACAACTAATCAACACAGAGAGATCATACATTCAAGTCAAATACCACAGTAAGAAAACGCATTTGACATAGATCATATGATTTAAATATATGAAATGTGAAGTTTGTTTGCAAATCATAGTTGATTCTCAACTGTACTGTCAACGTCATGGTATGATCTGTTCTTCTAAATAATCTGTTCATTGAGTTGTTCCATTATCAGTAGAAATTGGTTACTAACACTTGTCTATCATCGATTCTCATCTCCACACATTGATGACATTTCAAAGAAGAATTGGACAGGTTTTGAAAGAATTATACACGTTGGTGAAATTTTAAGAACTAATTCGACAAGTTTCCAAAGAATTCTTTTTTATTAGTGTACATGTGTATTTGTGTAACTAGACTACCGAATGAATGATGTGTATCGAACTGAACATATAGCCTGTTAGTTATCCAATTAGTAGAACACTGACTGAAAAACCAGAAATAATGATCCATAAACCAGTACGAATAGTTCAGAATCAATGATGATTTCTTATTTGTCTAATGAGATAGTAGCCTATCACCTAACCTTGACGGTTTACTGTCGAACGCCGATGTACACCCTCACAACACTAATCATTTACTTCAGACAAATCTGATTTCTGTATGAGAATATATCAATGAGAATGAATAATAGCTTTTGTGGATCGTGAGGTGTTAAGAAAGGTTATGAAAGAAGGTATTGAAAAGCTAATTGACACCTGTTCCTCCTGTTTTATAATATCCATGTTAGACCACTTCGTCGTCCTGAACACCGTGAGTGAACTTTGCTTATAGCAGTGTAAATGACAATGACCCTTTTGATATAATACTCATCTAGGTAAACTGATTGACTAATCGACACTAAACATGCATATCATCATTGAAATCCCAAGAACAACAAAAAACATCGTCGTGTACGTCAATCTGTAATCCATCAGAATAAAATTAGCACACGCAAACGCCTTCTTCATTCATCCATTCATCCATTGTGTGAGTAAGATACCTATCCACTGGTCATGGCTTCTCATCCCAACTACTGGAAATCATATTGGAGCAATGTAGAATTCATTTTAGAAAAAAAAAGTTCACTTCTACCTGAAAGTGAATATTCTATAAATGAAAATGTACATAAATGTAACTCACAATGAAGAACAGGATTTGTGCACCTATGTAAAAACCAATCGTTGAC